CGGCGTCTTGAAGTAGGTAGAATATAGTTGTGCATTAATTGGCTGTTGATTGCTGGTGTTGACTTTTTGATGTGTAGTGCCTCGCTGATGTCAAGTCGCCTGCTATCACCGTACCTATCGATGATTTCTGTGTTGTTTGTTAAGATTTCTCTGGTGATGGTCTGGTTGTGAGAAGAGATTATGTGTTCCTGGATGGCTCCCTGTAGCTTATGCATTGTTAGTCGCCTGGAAAGAGACGTTGTTCTCTTGCCTATATACTGAGTTCTTTGGGGCTTACAGTCCCCAAGTGGGCATTTAAAAGTTTTGGGTGAGGTGACAAACACAAGACAGAACCCGAAACAATGGATATAAATTGGATAAGTGAACATATGAATGGAAGTAACTGCAAAATAGACGACGTTGGTCTCCTTCAAAGCATTCTGCTCGGTGTCTGGGAGTTTTTCATGAGTAGATTGGCAGTTTTTTTTTTTTTTAAACGTCCAATCGACTCATGAAAACCTCCCCAGGTACCAAGCAGAACGCTTTAAAGGAGACCAACGTCGTCTATGCCTTTAAATGCCCACTTGGTGACTGTAAGCCCCAAAGAACTCAGTATATAGGCAAGACGACAGCGTCTCTTTCCAGGCGACTAACAATGCATAAGCAACAGGGAGCCATCAAGGAACACAATATCTCTTCTCACACCAGACCATCACCAGAGAAATCTTAACAAACAACACAGAAATCATCGATAGGTACAGCGATAGCAGGCGACTTGACATCAGCGAGGCACTACACATCAAAAAGTCAACACCAGCAATCAACAGCCAATTAATGCACAACTATATTCTACCTACTACAAGACCCCGAACTAATATGGAAGCAGCAAGAGGAAGTATGGGCCAATGGGCCTTTTGCAGTTACTTCCATTCATATGTTCACTTATCCAATTTATATCCATTGTTTCGGGTTCTGTCTTGTGTTTGTCACCTCACCCAAAACTTTTGTACCATATCACCTCATTCAATAGAGTACAAGTACGAAGAATTTGTATGTAAATTAAATTTTTGAAAATGTAATACGAATTACGAAACGCGTTCAGGCGTCAGATAATTAAAAAATGAATTTCGGAGAATTGATGTTTTTATTACCACCGACAGTGAAGAAAAACATAAGAAATATTGAGAAGATTCGTGTTAGAATTATTAATCATACCTTTTCTGTCATATTCAACAACATATTCAACAAGAAAGACTGCTACCAAAATATACTAATAATATATATATATATATATATATATATATATATATATATATATATATATATATATATATATATATATATATATATATATATATATATATATATATATATATATATATATATATATATATATATATATATATATATATATATATATATATATATATATATATATATATATATATATATATATATATATATATATGTATTATTAAATATGACCGAAAAAGTAAGATTAATAATTCTAACACGAATTTTCTCTATCTTTCGTACATTTCTTTTCACTGTTGGTGGTAATTCAAAAATTAATTCTCCAAAATTCATTTTTATTTCTAGTCTGACGCGACACTTGAGCGCGTTTCGTAAAACTTATTACATTTTCAAAGACTTAACATACACAACTAAATAGAACTTACACATATCCGATTTGTTTATATCTACATTTGAGTGAGGTGGCATTAATAGGGTATTAATTTCATCAACACAAGACAGAACACGAAACAATGGGTATTGAATGGAAGTGATTGTTCCTATTGGTCCATATTTCTTGATGCTTCTATATTGGAGCGGAGTCTTGAGGTGGGTAGAATATAGTAGTGCATTAATTGGCTGTTGATTGCTGGTGTTGACTTTTTAATGTGTAGTGCCTCGCAAATGTCAAGCCGCCTGCTATCGCTGTATCTATCGATGATTTCTGTGTTGTTTACTAGGATTTCTCTGGCGATGGTTTGGTTGTGGGAAGAGATTATATGTTCCTTAATGGAGCCCTGTTGCTTATGCATCGTTAAACGCCTAGAAAGAGATGTTGTTGTCTTTCCTATATACTGGGTTTTTTGGAGCTTACAGTCCCCAAGTGGGCATTTGAAGGCATAGACGACGTTGGTCTCTTTTAAAGCGTTCTGCTTTGTGTCTGGAGAGTTTCTCATGAGTAGGCTGGCCGTTTTTCTGGTTTTATAGTAAATCGTCAGTTGTATCCTCTGATTTTTGTCTGTAGGGATAACGTTTCTATTAACAATATATTTCAGGACCCTTTCCTCCGTTTTATGAGCTGTGGAAAAGAAGTTCCTGTAAAATAGTCTAATAGGGGGTATAGGTGTTGTGTTAGTTGTCTCTTCAGAGGTTGCATGGCGTTTCACTTTCCTTCTTATGATGTCTTCGACGAAACCATTGGAGAAGCCGTTGTTGACTAGGACCTGCCTTACCCTACAGAGTTCTTCGTCGACTTGCTTCCATTCTGAGCTGTGGCTGAGAGCACGGTCGACATATGCGTTAACAACACTCCTTTTGTACCTGTCTGGGCAGTCGCTGTTGGCATTTAGGCACATTCCTATGTTCGTTTCCTTAGTGTAGACTGCAGTGTGGAAACCTCCGCTCTTTTCCATGACTGTTACATCTAGAAAGGGCAGCTTCCCATCCTTTTCCATCTCGTAAGTGAAACGCAGCACGGAATTCTACTCAAACGCCTCCTTCAGCTCCTGCAGATGTCTGACATCAGGTACCTGTGTAAAAATGTCGTCAACATACCTGCAGTATATGGCCGGTTTCAAGTTCATGTCGACTAGGACTTTTTGCTCGATGGTACCCATGTAGAAGTTTGCAAACAGGACACCTAGGGGAGAACCCATGGCGACCCCATCTACTTGCTTATACATGTGCCCATCCGGGCTCAAGAAGGGTGCCTCTTTAGTACAAGCTTGGAGTAGTTTCCTTAGAATATTTTCTGGTATGTCAAGAGGAGTACAGGCTGGATCACGATACACTCTGTCGGCTATCATCCCGATTGTCTCGTCCACAGGTACGTTGGTGAACAGTGATTCTACGTCCAATGAGGCTCTTATCCCTGTGGCCCGTGTGCCCCGCAGTAAGCCAACAAATTCCTTTGGAGACTTCAGGCTGAAGGCGCAAGGGACATAAGGAGCCAGCAGGCCGTTGAGTCGCTTCGCCAGTCTGTACGTGGGTGTGGGTATCTGGCTAATGATTGGCCGAAGTGGGTTTCCAGGCTTGTGTGTCTTGACATTTCCATACGCATATCCAGGTTTATATTCCCCAATAATCTTTGGCAGGTGGAGTCCGGATTTCTTGGCGTTCACAGTTTCGATCAGTTTGTTGACCTTTGCTTTTAATTCGGCTGTAGTGTCCTTCGTTACCCTTTGGAATTTAGTTTGGTCAGAGAGTATGAGGTTCATTTTCGCCAGATATTCGTCTTTTTTAAGAATGACGTATATTGGCGACTTGTCGCCTCTCCTGACAACTATCTCCTTGTTCTCACGAAGGCTTTTAGCTGCCGCTTTGAGCTCGGGGGACAGTATGGTGCTTCTGTAATTGCCTCGATTCTTTCCTCCTTCCGCAATAAGTTCTGCTTGCAAGGTGTCTTTGGTAGTGACCTTCTTTTGTGTCTCGAGGTCGAATATGTCGTCCAACAGGATTTCCAACTCCACTTTCTGGGCCATCTCACTCGGTCTGGACATAACGTGACAGTTTATACCCAGATTTAGGAGTGATTTGGTCCTCAGTGAGGTTGATTCCTGCAAGGTTCAGGAAGCCATCTCTTGGTCGTGGAATTGCCATAGGTCCTCCATATAACGTTGTTAGTTTCTTGATAATCCTTGTTTCAGTGCTGAGGTGATGTCGGTCTGTGAGGATGTCGAGGTGTTGTTCAATGCGGGTACGGAGACTTTCGTCGATGTTCCTATTTCTCCATTCGTTTGTAGCATGAAGTAGTTGCGTTTTGTTGTCTTTGATTTCATTTTCCGCCTTGTATATCTGATCACGAATCAGATCCTGGCGATATTTTATCGTGAAGGCTTGATTCCTTGCTGCTGGGTCATGCATTTTAATAGTATATTTTGGTAGCAGTCTTTCCTGTAGACATATATTATTAAATATGACCGGAAAAGTAAGATTAATAATTCTAACATGAATTTTCTCTATCTTTCGTACATTTCTTTTCACTGTTGGTGGTAATTCAAAAATTAATTCTCCAAAATTCATTTTTATTTCTAGTCTGACACGACACTTGAGCGCGTTTCGTAAAACTTATTACATTTTCAAAGACTTTACATACACAACTGAATAGAACTTACACATCTCCGATTTGTTTATATCTACATTTGAGTGAGGTGGATGGGGTGAGGTGGCATTAATAGGGTATTAATTTCATCAACACAAGACAGAACACGAAACAATGGGTATTGAATGGAAGTGATTGTTCCTATTGGTCCATATAAATAAATAAATATATAGATACATAGTTGGATAGATAGATAGATAGATAGATAGATAGATAGATAGATAGATAGATAGATAGATAGATAGATAGATAGATAGATAGATAGATAGATAAATATATAGATACATAGTTGGACAGATAGATAGATTGATGGATAAATATATAGATACATAGTCGGACAGATAGATAGATAGATGGATAAATATATAGACACATAGTTGGACAGATAGATGGATTGATAGATGATTGGACAGATAGATGGACGAATAGATGGATGGATAAATAGATGGATGGGTATGTAAACAGGTAAATAGATAGATGAATGGATATGTTGATAGATAAATAGATAGATGGATTGAAACATTGACATATGGTAGAGAGAGAGTCCCTGTGAACGTCGTGTACTCTGTCATAATGCAAATATAAAGCAGAATGAGCAAATTAACTGAATGTCTTAAGTATCATATTTCATATTCACAATGAAATGAATCAGTATCAGTCATTTATATCTGTAGAAGCTGGAACTGACCTGCGAGGTTCAGGTAGATGATGGAGGAGGATAAATGCTGAGGCAAGACGGACTGGAGGAGGTTGTTGCTCAGGTCAAGCTGGTGTAGTCGTGCCATGTTTCTCAGCCAACCACCCTCCACCTCTGTAAACACGTACCACTGTCAATAACCACCCTCCACCTCTGTAAACACATACCACTGTCAATAACCACCCTCCACCTCTGTAAACACATACCACTGTCAATAACCACCCTCCACCTCTGTAAACACATACCACTCTCAATAACCACCCTCCACCTCTGTAAACACGTACCACTGTCAATAACCACCCTCCACCTCTGTAAACACATACCACTGTCAATAACCACCCTCCACCTCTGTAAACACGTACCACTGTCAATAACCACCCTCCACCTCTGTAAACACATACCACTGTCAATAACCACCCTCCACCTCTGTAAACACATACCACTGTCAATAACCACCCTCCACCTCTGTAAACACATACCACTGTCAATAACCACCCTCCACCTCTGTAAACACATACCACTGTCAATAACCACCCTCCACCTCTGTAAACACATACCACTGTCAATAACCACCCTCCACCTCTGTAAACACATACCACTGTCAATAACCACCCTCCACCTCTGTAAACACATACCACTGTCAATAACCACCCTCCACCTCTGTAAACACTTACCACTGTCAATAACCACCCTCCACCTCTGTAAACACATACCACTCTCAATAACTACCCTCCACCTCTGTAAACACATACCACTGTCAATAACCACCCTCCACCTCTGTAAACACATACCACTCTCAATAACCACCCTCCACCTCTGTAAACACATACCACTCTCAATAACCACCCTCCACCTCTGTAAACACATACCACTCTCAATAACCACCCTCCACCTCTGTTAACACATACCACTCTCAATAACCACCCTCCACCTCTGTAAACACATACCACTCTCAATAACCACCCTCCACCTCTGTAAACACATACCACTCTCAATAACCACCCTCCACCTCTGTAAACACATACCACTCTCAATAACCACCCTCCACCTCTGTTAACACATACCACTCTCAATAACCACCCTCCACCTCTGTAAACACATACCACTGTCAATAACCACCCTCCACCTCTGTAAACACATACCACTCTCAATAACCACCCTCCACCTCTGTAAACACATACCACTCTCAATAACCACCCTCCACCTCTGTAAACACGTACCACTGTCAATTGACACGTAAAACTATATGCTCATTTTATGAATTTCGCTCACATATAAGAGAATAGATATATAGGACTAGAAGTGCCTCCCGCGAAGTCGCCCGTGCCACGCTGGAGAACCGCTTCATGATGTTGGAGCAGCACAGGTAGGAGGCCAGGAGGAAATATGTGTGAAGGATGAGCACTAACCTGAGATGTTATTGTAAGACAAGTCAAGGTTGGCGAGTGTGAGGCAAGGCTTGGTGAAGAGCTCCGGGAGCGATGTGAGAGCGTTGTGAGCGAGGGAGAGGTAGGTTAGAGACTCTCTCACCTCGTTCAGGTTGAACATTCTCCAACCAACCTCGGGCTGGGCACTTGCAATCTGTAAAATTTGTAGCGTGTGTAGCGAGTAGATTATCCCAATAATATGCCCGCTCCAAACACATTAGCATATTGAGAGAAGCAAAGCTCTTCTTAGTACTAATTATGGAACTCAAACCTTTCCCAACTTCCAGTTAATATTACTGCCAACCTTTGGAGAACTGTGAGGGGTTGCCCGAACATAGAAGCAGCAGAGTAGCGAATAATAATTAGTCTACTTTCAATCCTGGCCGGGGAGGATTTACTGGGCGCAATTCCTTAACTGTAGCCTCTGTTTAACGCAACAGTAAAATGTGTACTTGGATGAAAAAACGATTCTTCACGGCAGGGGATCGTATTCCAGGGACCATAGGATTAAGGACTTGCCCGAAACGCTACGCGTACTAGTGGCTGTACAAGAATGTAACAACTCTTGTATATATCTCAAAAAAAATATAAAAAAAAAGTGTGGTCTAGACCAGGCCCTTGTGTAACACCCACCCACCAGGCCCTTGTGTAACACCCACCCACCAGGTCCTTGTGTCACACACACCCACCAGGTCCTTGTGTAACACCCACCCACCAGGTCCTTGTGTCACACACACCCACCAGGCCCTTGTGTAACACCCACCCACCAGGTCCTTGTGTCACACACACCCACCAGGCCCTTGTGTAACACCCACCCACCAGGTCCTTGTGTCACACACACCCACCAGGTCATTGTGTCACACACACCCACCAGGTCCTTGTGTCACACACACCCACCAGGTCCTTGTGTCACACACACCCACCAGGTCCTTGTGTCACACCCACCAGGTCCTTGTGTCACACCCACCAGGTCCTTGTGTCACACACACCCACCAGGTCCTTGTGTCACACACACCCACCAGGTCCTTGTGTCACACACACCCACCAGGTCCTTGTGTCACACACACCCACCAGGTCCTTGTGTCACACACACCCACCAGGCCCCTGTGTCACACACACCCACCAGGTCCTTGTGTCACACACACCCACCAGGCCCCTGTGTCACACACACCCACCAGGCCCCTGTGTCACACACACCCACCAGGTCCTTGTGTCACACACACCCACCAGGCCCCTGTGACACACCCACCCACCAGGTCCTTGTGTCACACACACCCACCAGGTCCTTGTGTCACACCCACCCACCAGGCCCCTGTGTCACACACACCCACCAGGCCCCTGTGTCACACCCACCCACCAGGTCCTTGTGTCACACACACCCACCAGGTCCTTGTGTCACACCCACCAACCAGGTCCTTGTGTCACACACACCCACCAGGTCCTTGTGTCACACACACCCACCAGGCCCCTGTGACACACCCACCCACCAGGTCCTTGTGTCACACACACCCACCAGGCCCCTGTGTAACACCCACCCACCAGGTCCTTGTGTCACACACACCCACCAGGTCCTTGTGTCACACCCACCCACCAGGCCCCTGTGTAACGCCCACCCACCAGGTCCTTGTGTCACACACACCCACCAGGTCCATGTGTCACACACACCCACCAGGTCCTTGTGTCACACCCACCCACCAGGTCCTTGTGTCACACACACCCACCAGGTCCTTATGTCACACACACACACCAGGTCCTTGTGTCACACCCACCCACCAGGCCCCTGTGTCACACCCACCCACCAGGTCCTTATGTCACACACACCCACCAGGTCCTTGTGTCACACCCACCCACCAGGCCCCTGTGTCACACCCACCCACCAGGTCCTTATGTCACACACACCCACCAGGTCCTTGTGTCACACCCACCCACCAGGTCCTTGTGTCACACACACCCACCAGGTCCTTGTGTCACACACACCCACCAGGTCCTTGTGACACACCCAACCACCAGGTCCTTGTGTCACACCCACCTACCAGGTCCTTGTGTCACACACACCCACCAGGCCCTTGTGTCACACACACCCACCAGGTCCTTGTGTCACACCCACCCACCAGGTCCTTGTGTCACACACACCCACCAGGTCCTTGTGTCACACCCACCCACCAGGTCCTTGTGTCACACCCACCCACCAGGTCTTTATGTCACACCCACCCACCAGGCCCCTGTGTCACACACACCCACCAGGTCCTTGTGTCACACACACCCACCAGGCCCTTGTGTCACACCCACCCACCAGGCCCCTGTGTCACACACACTCACCAGGTCCTTGTGTCACACACACCCACCAGGTCCTTGTGTCACACACACCCACCAGGTCCTTGTGTCACACACACCCACCAGGTCCTTATGTCACACCCACGCACCAGGCCCCTGTGTCACACACACCCACCAGGTCCTTGTGTCACACCCACCAGGTCCTTGTGTCACACACCCACCAGGTCCTTGTGTCACACACACCCACCAGGTCCCTGTGTCACACCCACCCACCAGGTCCTTGTGTCACACACACCCACCAGGTCCCTGTGTCACACACACCCACCAGGCCCCTGTGTCACACCCACCCACCAGGTCCTTGTGTCACACCCACCCACCAGGTCCTTGTGTCACACACACACACCAGGCCCCTGTGTCACACCCACCCACCAGGCCCCTTGTGTCACACCCACCCACCAGGCCCCTTGTGTCACACACACCCACCAGGCCCCTGTGTCACACACACCCACCAGGCCCCTGTGTCAACCCACCCACCAGGCCCCTGTGTCAACCCACCCACCACGCCCCTGTGTCAACCCACCCACCAGGCCCCTGTGTCAACCCACCCACCAGGTCCTTGTGTCACACCCACCCACCAGGTCCCTGTGTCACACCCACCCACCAGGTCCTTGTGTCACACCCACCCACCAGGCCCCTGTGTCACACACACCCACCAGGTCCTTGTGTCACACACACCCACCAGGTCCTTGTGTCACACCCACCCACCAGGTACTTGTGTCACACACATCCACCAGGTCCTTATGTCACACCCACCCACCAGGTCCTTGTGTCACACCCACCCACCAGGTCCTTGTGTCACACCCACCCACCAGGTACTTGTGTCACACACACCCACCAGGTCCTTGTGTCACACACACCCACCAGGTCCTTGTGTCCCACACACCCACCAGGTCCTTGTGTCACACACACCCATCAGGTCCTTGTGTCACACACACCCACCAGGTCCTTGTGTCACACCCACCCACCAGGTCCTTGTGTCACACACACCCACCAGGTCCTTGTGTCACACACACCCACCAGGTCCTTGTGTCACACACACCCACCAGGCCCCTGTGTCACACCCACCCACCAGGCCCCTGTGTCACACACACCCACCAGGCCCTTGTGTCACACACACCCACCAGGTCCTTGTGACACACACACCCACCAGGCCCCTGTGTAACACCCACCCACCAGGTCCTTGTGTCACACCCACCCACCAGGCCCCTGTGTCACACCCACCCACCAGGCCCCTGTGTCACACACACCCACCAGGCCCTTGTTTCACACACACCCACCAGGTCCTTGTGTCACACACACCCACTAGGTCCTTGTGTCACACACACCCTCCAGGTCCTTGTGTCACACACACCCACCAGGTCCCTGTGTCACACCCACCCACCAGGTCGTTGTGTCACACACACCCACCAGGTCCTTGTGTCACACACACCCACCAGGTCCTTGTGTCACACACACCCACCAGGTCCTTGTGTAACACACACCCACCAGGTCCTTGTGTCACACACAACCACCAGGTCCTTGTGTCACACCCACCCACCAGGTCCTTGTGTCACACACCCACCAGGTCCTTGTGTCACACCCACCCACCAGGTCCTTGTGTCACACCCACCCACCAGGTCCTTGTGTCACACACACCCACCAGGTCCTTGTGTCACACACACCCACCAGGTCCCTGTGTCACACCCACCCACCAGGCCCCTGTGTCACACACACCCACCAGGCCCTTGTATCACACCCACCCACCAGGTCCTTGTGTCACACACACCCACCAGGTCCTTGTGTCACACACCCACCAGGTCCTTGTGTCACACACCCACCAGGTCCTTGTGTCACACCCACCCACCAGGTCCTTGTGTCACACCCACCCACCACTAGGTCCTTGTGTCACACACACCCACCAGGTCCTTGTGTCACACACACCCACCAGGTCCCTGTGTCACACCCACCCACCAGGTCCTTGTGTCACACCCACCCACCAGGTCCTTGTGTCACACACCCACCAGGTCCTTGTGTCACACACACCCACCAGGCCCCTGTGTCACACACACCCACCAGGTCCTTGTGTCACACACACCCACCAGGTCCCTGTGTCACACACACCCACCAGGTCCTTGTGTCACACACACCCACCAGGCCCCTGTGTCACACACACCCACCAGGTCCTTGTGTCACACACACCCACCAGGCCCTTGTGTCACACACCCACCAGGTCCTTGTGTCACACACCTACCAGGTCCTTGTGTCACACACACCCACCAGGCCCCTGTGTCACACACACCCACCAGGCCCTTGTGTCACACACCCACCAGGTCCTTGTGTCACACACCCACCAGGTCCTTGTGTCACACACACCCACCAGGCCCCTGTGTCACACACACCCACCAGGCCCCTGTGTCACACACACCCACCAGGCCCCTGTGTCACACACACCCACCAGGTCCCTGTGTCACACCCACCCACCAGGTCCTTGTGTCACACACACCCACCAGGTCCTTGTGTCACACACCCACCAGGTCCTTGTGTCACACACCCACCAGGTCCTTGTGTCACACACACCCACCAGGCCCCTGTGGCACACACACCCACCAGGTCCATGTGTCACACACACCCACCAGGTCCATGTGTCACACACACCCACCAGGCCTCTGTGTCACACACACTCAGCAGGCCCCTGTGTCACACACACCCACCAGGCCCCTGTGTCACACACACTCACCAGGCCCTTGTGTCACCCCACCCACCAGCCCCCTGTGTCACACACACCCACCAGGCCCCTGTGTCACACACACCCACCAGGCCCCTGTGTCACACACACCCACCAGGCCCCTGTGTCACACACACCCACCAGGCCCCTGTGTCACACACACCCACCAGGCCCCTGTGTCACACACCCACCCACCAGGCCCCTGTGTCACACACACCCACCAGGCCCCTGTGTCACACACCCACCCACCAGGCCCCTGTGTCACACACACCCACCAGGCCCCTGTGTCACACACCCACCCACCAGGCCCCTGTGTCACACACACACTCACCAGGTCCTTGTACTGAATGACCTGAATCCCAGTAAAGTTATGTAAACATAATTTGTCTAGGTTACCAATCTTTTCAACGCAGAAACTTGTTTGGTGGAAACCTTCATTGTGTTGTTTCCTTGCATCATAGGTTTATCTATATTTCCAAAATCTAGTCCTTTCAACAGAGGCAAGTTAGTCTGGAAATATTAGATTAACCTGTGCTGGAAGGAAAGAGCTGAGTGTAGAGTTCCCCAAAAGAAGCAACTGCGAGTAAAAGGTTGGTAACCCCAAACTACAATATATTTGCATATGTGGTCCAGAGTGGGTCACCGCCAGATGGTAGCCCCGGCAACGGTTTCCCTCATGCACCAGCCGATAGCAATCCCAGAGAACCACGTAAGGAGGTATGGGCTGACACGAAGACCCACCAAAAGGGACCTAGAAAACTATCCAACATGAAAAAGAAAGAGGCAGTCACAGATGGGCCCCATATCTAAAGAAACGAACCAAAGAAAACGAAGGTACACGTCGTCAAAAGGACTGCCAGAAAGATGGCGCCACAGAACCTAAGGCGACAACAAGCAGCATCGCACCCGACCACGCAAGGGCACACGGGAAGAACAGCGATGCTGGATTCATCAAGACACCGGCACCAAGCAACCCCATGAAGGAAATGCAGCCATAGGAACGGATACTAAGTCCCATCGACCGGACAGTGAGGCTGAACCGGCTATCAAGTAGGGAAATTCTACAGGCTCGGGGAAAAAAAACACGAATCCGGGCAGGAAGAGTGGGGAAAATACTACTCCAAGATGAAAGGACAGAACCACAAGCGCCCTCAACCAAGAGGGGCATCAAGATGAAAAGCAAAGTGAATAAAAGACCTACCAGATGACTGAACAGCCAATCAAACCAACGGATGGAGCACTGACGACCCCACCAAAAACTACGGACCACAACGACGAATGACCCACGACCATATGCGACAACACACAAGCAAATGCGGGGAGCCATAGCCCTGAGAACCGGTAGCTTAGAATCCACCTAAGGCAGCCCCTATCCGGAAGAGACTGAACCGACTCACATAGGGAAATCAAACCCCCAAACTGCGGGCAGAGGTAAAACCCGACCACGGAACCCAGCAAAGGACAAGAACAGGGTAAAGAATAACAGAACCGCTGCCACCTCGCAAACCTTGATGCGCAACTGCCGGCGATATAAAAATCTCCTATCAGAAGCACCAGAGAGCACAAGCCACTAGATCCGAGTTGAAAGCCAGGACAACTGGAAAATGGCGAACGCATACATAGGATGGAGACACTTAGGAACGAATCCTGAAGGCCCTAAGAGGGCAGCGAAGATGAACCACAGGGCAAACCCAAGAAACACCAGAAATTGCCAAAAAGGCGAAATAGGCAACCGTGTAGATATATCGGAGTGATCAAGGCCTAGTAAGAAGCCCACATAGGTAAACCCAGGCCATCACATAACCACTGAGAAAGCTTACGAGGAAAACGAGCATCTCTACAAAACGGGAGAACGATGACAGCCGAGTACAGCGGCGGCAAACAAGAAACAACGTTCCTGAGGCCGAACCAGGCTCGACTAAGACCGAACCTGCAACGGTACTAAGCAGAACTTTCGTCATGTGACAAGGAACCCAAAATCCGTCTACCAAAAAGAACCGGACCCCTGCCAACCGGACCCCAAGGGTGTTCAATCCAGTCAATTGCCGAGGTTGGCGAGGACACAGGATCCCAAAGAGAAGCACACGGACCCGCGTCATACCAAACGAACCGGGTGGCAACTAAATATTAGCCAGCCATTTATTTATACGTCACCAAAACACCACAGTACTCGGCCTGAACCTCGACAACAACCTTCGAATACACACACACACATACAGACTATACAGACATAAACAAGCGCACCCCTGTACAAAGATACACCTATACAAAGCCCTAATCCGCCCTCTCATAACATATGCCCCAACAGCCCTAATGCTTGCAGCCAACACAAACAAAACAAAACTCCAACGCATCCAAAACTAAGCTTTGAGATGTTTATACAACACCAGCTGGGACGACCTCATTACGCTTGAGACCCTCCACCTCAGGACCAAGACGCCACCATTAAACATACACTGGAAACACCTGGCCAATAAGCAGATACACAAACTAACCACTTACCACCAACACTACAACACAATCCTCACCAACACAATACTGAGACGCTGGAATGCTCAGAACCTCCTAACCATACCACAACACCCACCACCCGCACCACTATATACATAACTTGCCACTAACCTAATCACTTGCTCAGCCAGCCCACCGGGAACAGCCTCCCCCACTGTCCCCACCCTCTCCATATTGTAAAAAAAAAATCCTCACAATGGCTGGTTAGGACTTCTGGTACCACTGGGACTTGCCTCGACGCTTGGGTAAACATGGTGTTGAATATATTCCCTGAATACATGGCTTGCAGCTGGGTTAAGCCCTGGCACTACTTTCTTCGACTGTGGCGTCTCCTCTCCAGACTTTTTTTCCGTCTGTCCCCACTTTCCGCTCACACTTTATATGTACAATTGATTGATTGATTGATTGATTGATTGATTGATACCAATCAAGGAGACCCATCCCACAAGACAAGTAAAAAACAACCAAATTGAAGCCAAGCGAAACATTGGACCGGGAAGGGACTCGAAAACCCCGAGAAAGAGCATAATCCCGCGAGTCCCATGGAAGGACCAGAACCAACACCATGAAAGGCCTCACTGCAGGTAATCCCACGTCCAACAAACCAGCTAAGGTCGTGCAGGGAAGAAGGGCAGTCGGCAAGAACGGATTCTCACTGCACGATGAGGCGACTGTGGGAGCTGTGCGCCTGTGGTCGCTCAGTACAGGCTAACGTGACAACAACAACACTGTTGCATATTTCTGTGATATGAACTTGTTTGTTATTGACTCATTTTCCCGTTCATTTTCCCTTAATTAATTTATCCTGTGAAAATTTTATGTCAAGAAAAATACATTGATTCCATATTTTGTGACTCATTACTGAGTGTTTTTTTTTATAGCATTTATTTTGGAGTATTTGACTGACTTCAAAATTGTAAAATAATAAGTATTCTTCTACGCTTAAACGTTTCCGTGCACAATCACTTCTACACTGCTCACCTGTCCAAGTTTGTTGTGGTCCAGGTGAAGTTGACGCAGGCTGGCAAGACTTGACAGAACAGATTCTTTTGGGAGGTGGGCGATCTGATTGTGGCGGAGGTCAAGCACCTCCAACCTTGTCAAGTTGGCCGTTACTTCTGGAACCACCGTCAGTAGGTTGTAGGAGAGGTCAAGGTGCACCAAAGTATGTGCATGGTCATCAAATGCTCCCACATTGACCTCTCTAATGCCTGAACTTACAATGGTGACAGTGTCGAGACGAGAGGGCGTGAACAGGGTGTGTTGGGTGAGGGTGGGCAGAACACACTTGTAGTAGGACACCTCCCTCACCACATCCTTCAGCATGCTTCTATCACCAGTGCTGTTGATCAAACTTTCTTATTAGTTTAACAAACATATTTGCACAGGTATGCAATATTCTTGTGTGTAATCTTATGAGTATTCTTGCCCACACATACAAAGACACAGCAAGGCAACAAATTTGTGAATATATACATTGAGATGATGTGGTTAAGGGGGCTTATTACCGGTTTCGTAAAAATTGTTCAATTTGTTTATAAATTTATTTATGAAATGGTTATAGAAAGAGCTGCAACTGGTCCAAGTTTCAGCATCACACCCTAAACAGAAAAGGAGAAATAAAATACACAACGTATTATGCAACGAATTTTCAACATTTTCAAATAATTTCAGGGAACACATGTGTCAACTAAAATCATTTCTATAACACTCAGATATTAAACTAACACATAATAAAGGATTGTATTGATCGGTTTTATAAAAAAAGTGTTTAGTGCAATAATATAATTATTCAAAGTTACCCTTCCAAAAATATGCAATATATGATGTTTATAAATTTTTATAAAATCAACAAATGGACTTTGGACTAAAATGTTTAAATAGGTTTGTAGAAGCATAAACTCTACATATAAGGTGTAATTTGCATGTAAATTGATTAATAAATGAATGCTGAGAAATACCTTGAAGTTGTAAATTACTTTCCAGAGTAAAATAAAGATCCAAGTTCGGCCACCTGTAGCTGAGCTTGACTCCGACAGATTTCGTTCATAATTGGCACCCTTGCAGATAGGCATCCATTGAGCAAGGTGTGCAAGTTTCATGCAAATCCCTTGATAACAAACGAGAAAAAAAAATTGGCCCAAAAAAAAAAAAAAAAAAAAAAAAAAAATTACATATAAATATATTGCACATACATATTACAATTATTACAAGAGTTTGTGCTTCTACAGCACATAGTAGACATTTTAGTTGACACATGTGTTTCCTGAGATTATTTGAGAATGTTGAACATTCGTTGCATAATACGTTGTGTATTTTTTTTCTCCTTTTCTGTTTAGGGTGTGATGCTGAAACTTGGACCAGTTGCAGCCCTTTCTATAACCATTTCATAAAAAAATTTATAAGCAAATTGAACAACTTTTAATTTATACCGATTAGCCCCCTTAAACCATTATTGTGCGGCTTTCGTCATATTGCGTATTAGGGGTCACTTGACTAAAAGACGACCTATGTTATGATTTAAAACACACAAACGCACACATACACACACACACACACACACACACACACACACACACACACACACACACACACACACACACACACACACACACACACACACACACACACACACACACACACATACACACACACATCCTGTGTGTACAGGTTCCTCAGGAACCTGTACATCAGTTGATTGACACTTGAGAAGCGGGACCAAAGAGACAAAGCTCAACCCTCGCAAGCACAATTAGGTGAGTACAATTAGGTCATTAGGTGAGTACACACACACAAACACACAGGTCTCATACACATACAGGTCTGAGGTCTCACTCCTCACTGTAACTCTCTGCTTCCTATTGCTTAGGTACTCCCTTATCCACTGGAGCGCCCTACCAGTTACTCCTGCCTGTTTCTCTAGCTTATGCATCAACCTTTTATGGGGTACTGTGCCAAAGGCTTTCCGACAGTCCAAAAAAATGTAGTCCGCCCATCCTTCTCTTTCTTGCTTAATCTTTGTCACCTGATCGTAGAATTTTATCAATCCTGTAAGGCAAGATTTACCCTCCCTGAACCCATGTTAATGGGTTGTCACGAAGTCCCTTCTCTCCAGATGTGTTACTAGGTTTTTTCTCAATCTTCTTCATCACCTTGCATGGTATACAAGTTAAGGTCACTGGCCACACCCACTGTGCCTCTTGTCTGTTCAGTGCCTCTTGTCTGTCACCCTTTTTGTATATTGGTACTACATTTGCAGTCTTCCATATTTCTGGTAGGTCTCCCGTTTCCAGTGACCTACTATACACTATGGAGAGTGGCAAGCAAAGTGCTCCTGCACACTCTTTCAATACCCATGGTGAGATTCCGTCCGGCCCAACAGCTTTTTTCACATCCAGCTCCAATAGGTGCTTCTTGACCTCATCTCTTGAAATTTCGAACGTTTCCAAGGTCACCTGGTTTGCTGCCACCTCTCCTAGCGCCGTGACTTCTTTCTGTTCTATTGTAAAGACCTCCTGGAACCTTTTGTTGAGTTCTTCACACACCTCTTTGTCATTCTCAGTGTACCTGTCCTCCCCCACACTAAGTTTCATCACCTGTTCCTTCACTGTTGTCTTCCTCCTGATGTGACTGTGTAGTAGCTTTGGTTCGGTCTTGGCTTTATTAGCTATATCATTGTCATACCTTTTCTCAGCTGCTCTTCTCACACTAACATACTCGTTCCTGGTTCTCTGGTATCTCTCTCTACTTTCTGGTGTTCTGTTATTACGGAAGTTCCTCCATGCCCTTTTGTTCAGCTCCTTTGCTTTCATACATTCCTTATTAAACCACGGATTCTTCCTTTGCTTCTCTGTTTTTACATGTCGGGCTGGGACAAACCTGCTTACAGCCTCCTGACCCTTTTGGATGACATTGCCCATCATGTCTTGTACAGACTTGGTTCTGAGTTCTGTGTCCCAATGTATATCCCTTAGGAATTTATTCATTTCCTCATAGTTTCCCTTTCGGTACGCCAGCCCTTTGTTTCCTAGTTCTTTTTTGGGGGTGATAATTCCTAGCTCAACCAGGTACTCAAAGCTCAATACACTATGATCACTCATTCCTAAGGGGGCTTCCAACTTAACTTCCCTTATATCCGACTCATTTAGGGTAAATATCAGATGAAGACAGGCTGGTTCATCACCTCCTCTCATTCTTGTTGGTTCGTTGACGTGTTGACTTAGAACGTTTCTTGTTGCCACATCCAGCAGCTTAGCTCTCCATGTGTCTGGGCCTCCATGTGGGTCTCTGTTCCCGCAATCTATCTTCCCATGGTTGAAGTCTTCCATGATTAGTAGTCTGGATCCGTTCCTGTTACCCACAGAAGCTGCTTTCTCTATTATATTGATGGTGGCCATGTTGTTTCTATCATATTCCTGTCTGGGTCTTCTGTCGTTTGGTGGGGGGTTATATATGACTACTATTATAATTTTCTGTCCTCCAGTTGCCATGGTGCCTGATATGTAGTCACTGAAACCTTCACAGTTCTGAATTACCATCTCTTCAAAACTCCAACCTTCTCTTATTAGCATAGCTACACCACCTCCTCCTCTCCCTTCTCTCTCTTTCCTCACTACATAGTAGTCCTGTGGAAACACTGCGTTTGTTATGATTTTCGTTAGCTTTTTTTCTATGAGCGCTATTATGTCTGGGTTTCTTCTAGTGCCTATTCTCCGAGTTCACTTGTTTTATTTGTATTCCCATCTATGTTAGTGTGTACCTTGGGTACACACTAACATAGATGTGTACCTTGTGTGTACACTTCAAGGGCCTTGAAGTGTACTTTCTTCTATTCATTTTCTTGCCCCCTTCTAGGCGAGCATTCTACTGGTGTGGGAAGCTGTTCCGTGGGTGAGAAGATCTGTGAGGTGGTTTGCAGGGTCTCAGAGGATTTTGGGGTGGGGGGTGGGGGTTCAAGGGAAGAGTGGACAGGTAGGGTGTGGGTTAAGTGTGTGTACTCACCTAGTTGTACTCACCTAGTTGTGTCTGCAGGATCGAGCATTGACTCTTGGATCCCGCCTTTCGAGCATCGGTTGTTTACAGCAATGACTCCTGTCCCATTTCCCTATCATAACTGGTTGTAAAATTATGAATAGTATTTGCTTCCACAACCTGTTCCTGAAGTGCATTCCATTTTCCCACTACTCTCACGCTAAAAGAAAACTTCCTAACATCTCTGTGACTCATCTGAGTTTCAAGCTTCCATCCATGTCCCGTCGTTCTGTTACTATTCCGTGTGAACATTTCGTCTATGTCCACTCTGTCAATCCCTCTGAGTATTTTATACGTTCCTATCATGTCCCCCCTCTCCCTTCTTCTTTCTAGTGTCGTAAGGCACAGTTCCCTCAGGCGCTCCTCATACCCCATCCCTCGTAGCTCTGGGACGAGTCTCGTTGCAAACCTCTGAACCTTTTCCAGTTTCATTAGATTCTTCTTCAGATGGGGACTCCATGATGAGGCGGCATACTCTAAGACTGGCTTCACGTAGGCAGTGTAAAGCGCCCTAAATGCCTCCTTACTTAGGTTTCTGAATGATGTTCTAACTTTTGCCAGTGTAGAGTACGCTGCTGTCGTTATCCTATTTATATGTGCCTCAGGAGAGAGATTAGGTGTTACGTCCACCCCCAGGTCTCTTTCGCGCGTCGTCACAGGTAGGCTGTTTCCCCTTCATTGTGTACTGTCCCTTTGGTCTCCTATCTCCTAGTCCCATTTCCATAACTTTACATTTGCTCGTGTTGAATTCCAGTAGCCATTTCTCTGACCATCTCTGCAACCTGTTCAGGTCCTCTTGGAGGATCCTGCAATCCTCATCTGTCACAACTCTTCTCATCAACTTTGCGTCATCCGCAAACATCGACATGTAGGACTCTACGCCTGTAAACATGTCGTTAACATATACAAGAAATAGAATTGGTCCCAGCACCGATCCTTGTGGTACTCCACTTGTTACTGTTCGCCAGTCCGATTTCTCGCCCCTTACCGTAACTCTTTGGCTCCTTCCTGTTAGGTAGTTCCTTATCCATGCTCGGACCTCATGTGCTGTACTGTATTAAAGGCTTTTTGGCAGTCCAGAAATATACAGTCTGCCCAACCATTTCTGACCTGTCTTATCCTCGTTATTTTATCATAGAATTCCAGAAGGTTTGTTAGGCACGATTTCCCTGTCCAGAACCCATGTTGATGTTTGTTCACAAACCTAATGTTCTCCAGGTGTGCTACCAGTCGTAGCCTAATTATTCTTTCCAGTATTTTACAGGGGATGCTTGTCAGTGATACAGGTCTATAGTTAAGTGCCTCCTCCCT